ACTGAGTGGATACACCTTTTATAAGGAAGTGGGAAGAGCAGGATGCACATGTTTTTGCATTTGCTTCCAGGAACATTTATTCCAAGTTCAGGTCCAAGGTGCTGATAGCAATCTGTGACTCTGAGAGGCAGGACCATGTCCACTCTCCTGAGTCAACAGATGGACTCAAGCTTCACTTTGCTTGTTTGGGTTGGTTTAACTTGTAAGTTGACTCCAGGCCTACTGTGAAAAGCTGTGTATGCATTCCAAACACAGCCAGCTTTCACCTGAAGGCTGTAAATCCAACAGGAACAAGGTGAAGTTGTTTGCAGCATTTATTGGCTTTCACTTGGCCGATGACCCATGAGACCGAACTAGTTAGGGACTAAGCTATTGTTGTTGCGTGCTGTCCAGTCAGTTCCAACTCATAGTGACCCGGTGTGCAACAGAACGAAACACTGCCCAGTCCTGTGCCAATCTCACAACTGTTCTTTCATAACATTGTTTTGTTTTTGTCTACCATTGACATGCTTTTTGCTACAGGTAATATTGCTTGCTTTAAATCTGTTTCCTTTCTGTTTTGTTTTGTATGATTTTTTATTTAAAAGCATTAGGGTATTGATGGATAAAAAGTAAAAACAAATATCTCTTCATTGAAGATATGGATGCTATAGAAAAATGTGGTGGAAAAAAAAAAGAGGTGCTTGGCTATCAGAAAGAATAGCGTCTGGGGTCTTAAAAGTCTGTCTGAAAACAAGTATCCACTTAAGTGAGGCATCAACTAAGCCCACCTGGAATCATACCAGCTTATGTGATCCAAGGATTATAAATAATAAAACCCAAATCTGAAGGAGGGAGCTTAAATTAATATTGAAGCTTAAATTCTGAACACTTGACTTGCAGAAGGTTATGGAGACAGTGGAAACCCAAAATTCAAAATCACCAGGAAGAAAGACCTGGTGATCTACTTTCAGAAATAAGCCAATGAAAGCCCTGTAGCTCACAAAGGCCCAATCTGTTGTACCTGGACTCATCGTGAGCCAGAGGCCATTGGCACCTAGTTCTTCTCCGGTCTTTGTTATTCACGGAGAGACCTTGACATGTGTATGATGTGGCTGAAAATAACATAGTTTGGGTTAGAGACACATTGGTTCTCAAAGCGACATCTTTGCTCTTTAACACTTCAAAGAGATCTTGTGCAGCAGATACCCCCAATATGCCCAAATAAACCATTCGGCTTTTTAACTGCTGCTCCCATGGGTATTGATTGTGAACCCAAGTAAAATTAAGTCCTTGACAACTCAGATCTTTTCTCCATTTATAATGATGCTGCTCGTTGGTCCGGTTTTGAAGATCGTTGTGCTGTTCATGTTGAGGTATAATCCAGTCTGAAGGCTGTGGGTAGTCTGACCTTCATCAGTCAGGGCTTCAAGTCCTCTTTGCTTTCAGCAAGTAAGGCCATGTCATCTGCATATGGAAAGTTTTTAATAAGCCTTCCTCCAATGCTGTTGCCTCCTCCTACTTCATATGACTGACTTCTAAGATGATTTGCTCAGCATACAGATTGAACAAGCATGGTGAAAGGATACAACCCGGGGACACAACCTTCCAGATTTAAATTATGTCATATCCCCCGGTTTTGTTCGAACAACTGCCTCTTGGTCTTTGTACAGTTTCTACATGAACACGTTGAAGTGTTCTGGAATTCACCGTCTTCACAATGTTATTCATAGTGTGTTGTGAGCCACACAATTGGATGCCCTTTCATAGTAACTAGAACACAAGTCAACATCTTTCTGGTACTCTCTGCTTTCAGCCAAGATCCATCCCATGTCAGCATTGATAATCATTGTTCCACATCCTCTTTCTGAATCCAACTTGAATTTCTGGAAGCGATGTACTGCTGCAAGCCTGTTTTAATTGTTCTCAGTACAATTTTACTTACATGTGATATGGATAGTGTTTGATCGATTCCACATCCCATTGGATTGTCTTTCGTTGGAGGAGGCAGAAGTATGGATTTCTTCCAGTTGATTGGCCTGGCTGTCTTCCATATTTCTTGGCATAGATGATCACCTCCAGTGTTGCATCTATTTGTTGAAACATCTCAATTAGTGGTTGCCATTTATGTTGTTGTTGTTGTTGTTGTTTTAAGGTATCTGCAATGAATAAGCACCAAGGCCATATTCTCCAGCAGTGCTTCCTTCTCTGTTGCCAATGTTCCCCTTAACCTGAATGTTTAATCAGGTTAAGATGGTAGTCGTGGTATTTTCAGTTGCCTTATAGGCTTGTGAAAGTTGGACATTGCATAAAGAAGACCAAAGAAGAATCGGTGCATCTGAATTGTGGTCCTGGAGGAGAACATTGAAAACACCATGGACTGCTAAAGACGAACCAATCTGTTTTGGAGAAAGTGTGGCCAGAGTGCTCCTGAGAGGCAAGGATGGCGAGACTTCATCTTACATAGTTTGGACATGTTGCCAGGAAAGACCAGTCCCTGGAAAAAGGACAGCATGGTTGGTAAAGCAGAGGGGCAGCAAAAAAGAGGGAGATCCCCGACAAGTGGCTTGTCACTGTGGCTGTAACAACAGGCCCCTAAGCATCGGAACAATTGTGAGGATGGCTCAGGACAGGGCAGTGTTTCGTTCTGTTGTACACGGTTCGCTATGGGTCGGAGTCATTTCAATGGCACTGTGGTAGTTGTGTAATCTACTGTCAATTTGAAACTTAAGAGTCAAGGTGTGGAGTTTAACCTGTCGATCAGGTCGCAGCTTGATGACCTCATGTGGAGGCGCTGAGGAGATAAAAGCTCGCTGGAGGCGGGACACACACAGACTTCCTGGGAGACATTCCAGCTGAGAAGACACATGGAGCTACGAGAGCCCTGAAGCTGAGGGAGCCACGTGGAGACCCCTGCCAGTGCTAAGATGCCTCTACTGCCCCTGGATCCACAAGACTTCCCACCCACTGGCCTGTGAGCCTCCTGCATTCGGCATCATTGCATGTGTTGCATGAGTCTGAAGAAGACTTTATAGATTGGTATCGGACATATGGACTTGATCTGGACTGGGCTGGGATGTTTTCTCAATATTCAATTGCTCTTGTATATAAAGCTCTTTATTATACATATATAAGTGTCTATGAACTTGTTTCTCTAGTCTACCCAGACTAACACAGGCACCTAATAAAACAACAAGATCATAAAAATTGGTTAACACAAAACAAAAAAAAAAACTTCAATTTCGTCAGCTTTGGCCTTGGTGGTTGGTACATACATCAAATATAAGGCATATTTTGCCTCTTCCTTATAGGCCTGTGGGTCACCAATGCACTGCACTTCAGGATAGCGCTTGGATGGTTCTTTAAATGAAGCTGATACCATGCCTTTTCCACTTGTCATGCTCACATAGTAGACCATATAAGTGTCCTATGAAAAATGGTCAGCACTCAATAAAAGTATTTCATTTTTTAAAAAGAGGATGGTGCAAAAAGTGGTCAGCACTGGGCCGTTTCAGTCCCCATGTCCATGATATTGATCTTTATATACTCTCTTTTGGATGACTTCCAAGTTTTCTAGATTCATGCTCTGTACATCCTGCCTGCCGATTGATTCTTGATTGATTCTTCATGAATGCCTGCAGGTGTTTCGTTTCATTTTGAGTTGCGTCACATCAGCAAACGAAGGGTCTGGAAGCCTGGCTCGAGCCACATCAGTAAAGGCAAACCTACTTCGAGGCGTATCAGCCAAGGAGGTGGAGAAACTGGGAACCTCGTCCACTGCTGACGGGAATCTGAGATAGAGCAGCCGCTGTGGAAAGCAATTTAGAGGTTCCTCAAAAAGTTCAGTGGAGAATTACCACATGATCCAGCAATTCCACTCCTAGGCATATCCATACCCAAGAGAGCTGAAAGCAAGACCGCCCTCATATATGTTGCAGCTCTCGGTACAATAAGCAAAACGTGGAAACAACCTCCATGTCCATCAACAGATGGGTGGGCAAGCAAAATATGTTCCGTGCACGGATATACCATGGGGTTTACTCCGCCACAGGAAGGAATTAAGTCCCAATCGATGCTACAAACATGGATGAACCTTCAAACTAGTATGCTGAGTGCAACAAGTCTATCACAAAAGGACACATATTGTACGATTCCACCGATAGGAAATGCCTAGCACAGACAAGTGTACAGAAAACAAAGACTATCCGTGGTAGTTTAGGAGGAAGGGGCCAGGAACTGCCCCCTTTCACAGGAACTGCTTGTTCTGGGTGATGGAAACATTTGGAACAGGATATGGATGGTGGCTGTGCAAGGTCGTGAAATCAATGAATGTCACTGAATTGTACGCAGAACAACATGTTAAAATGGCACCTCGATTTTTAAAAAATGGAAAGTTTTAAAGCAGCTTTGATGGCATCAGACTCCCATTCCTCTAAAGGTTCCAGTTCTCAAATCCTTAACACGGCCACGGGCTTTACACAGCCTGGCTCTGCCCTGCTCCACGGGTTCCCTCCCATCTCCCAGCCTTGGCTGGACCTGTCCCCTCCACTAGAATGCCCTGCCTCTCCATCCAGCTGATGCTGCTGGTCCTATCACAGCTTCCCTCTGGCTTCTTCAAGGGCTCCCTTAGGTCTCCCCTTTTGAATAGCAGTAACTGCACCGGGTGCCAAGTCTTAACCCACCTTCTACATAGTGTCCCCACAGTGGTGGCATGTGGTATGGGGGTACAGACTGCACCAGGAGATGCTGTCAGAGGGGGTGACACCAACTGTCTACAAAATGTGCAGTGTTTCCGCAGAAATTTTGTGGCTTAAAAATATCCCTTTCATTAGTTATGACAACCAAAAACGTTTCAAATGCCCAGCTTCCATGTATCGATCCATCTCCAAAGCTAACACTATGCTGAGTGGCTCTTCGAAGCGTGGTATGTGCTCCCGGCAAGGCTGTCATGATGACCCAGTGACAGTGAGGCTTCAAATCACGTGGTGTTTGCTAACACTCGCTTTTGTTTTTACTCGTAGGTATATACCCTAAAAGGATTGTTGCAGGTGTTTCTTAATTGCTGATTTTGTCAAAATTCCAGGTGTTTTACCTCTGATCTTGTGGTAAGTAGTAGTTATGAGCCTATATCAATAACTATTTGGAGAATGAAGCAGTAATTAAAAGAAAAGATGG